CTAAATCCTGATCTGATCAGTAGGTGGCAACAAAATATCATGCTGCCTGCCATCATACCCCTCTACACTCCTCTCCAGTGCCATACTGCTCCGATACCCAGTAAACTCTCCCTTTTAGCACTACTACCAGCATACATACTACCTCCAGCACATGTTGCCTGCTTTCAAAACTGCTACACTCTTCTCCTGCACATACTACCTGCACTGCTCTCCACCACATACTTTCTGCCCTCATACTCTCTCTCTCTACAGCACACATACTACCCAGTCATACCCTCTACACGCCTCTCCTCACTCTACCTGCCGCCATACCCTCGACACTCTTCTCCAGCACATACTACCTGTGCCATACCCTCTGCACTCCTCTCTGGCACATACTACCTGCCGCCCATGCTGCTCTATGGGAAATACTGCCCACTGTCTTACCCTCTGCGCTCCTCTCTGGCACATGCTGCCCACTGTCATACCCTCTGCGCTCCTCTCCGGCACATGCTGCCCGCTGTCATACCCTGTGCGCTCCTCTCCGGCACATGCTGCCCGCTGTCATACCCTGTGCCTCCTCTCCGGCACATGCTGCCCACTGTCATACCCTGTGCCCTCCTCTCCGGCACATGCTGCCCACTGTCATACCCCTGTGCCCTCCTCTCCGGCACATGCTGCCCACTGTCATACCCTGTGCCCTCCTCTCCGGCACATGCTGCCCACTGTCATACCCTGTGCCCTCTCTCCGGCACATGCTGCCCACTGTCATACCCTGTGCCCTCCTCTCCGGCACATGCTGCCCACTGTCATACCCTCTGCGCTCTCTTCGGCACATGCTGCCCACTGTCATACCCTCTGCCCGCCTCATACCCTCTCGCCTCTCTTCACATACTGCCTACCGCCATACCCTCTGCGCTCCTCTCCGGCACATGCTGCCCTCTGTCATACCCTCTGCTCCTCTCTTCGGCACATACTGCCTACCGCCATACCCTCTGCGCTTCTCTTTAGCACATACTGCCTGCTATCATACCATTTGCACTTTTGTCCTGCACATACTACCTGCTGTATATACTGAATGCTAAGACACTGCTTTATCATTGTTTGTCTCCCCAGCCTTGCCTGTTCTTAAATGGGCATGTATTTGTAAGTATATATGTTACTACAAATGACCTTGTGGTTCATTTTCACATAAAAACAAGGTTTATTGGTAAAAAAAAAAGGGCTGGATTTTACATTCATTACTTTTATTGCAAGTAGTGGGAAAACTGAAAACTTGCCATTTGAAGTGGAAGACAATGTGTTTTTTTTTTTTTTTTTTCTACTTGTAATTCACCATAACTTCCCATTAGTATATCCTTGTTTCATAGAAATCCGGATAAAGATAAATGTAGCGCTATTTGTTTTAAGCCGGTCTTGTGAATCGTCAGCAGCGTCAAAGCCTTTTTACTGTGACTTCACATAGAACAAGGTGACCACACAGCAGGAGGGGATGCTTGCCATTTCCATTTAACCTAAATATCTTTCAGATGTCAGCTTTTCACAGCATGATGCTTTCCGTTTGGATATATTGTGCAGAAGCTTTACGTTTAATACATTACAGTTCTATATTGTCACTTTGTTTATGTTTCTGTCTGTAATTGTTTCATTCCCAGAGACCACTACATCCGTATTTATTATCCGTTCTTCGTAAAACTGCCAGGAGTGTTCCAGATCTAACATTCTTCTAAGAATTTTACTCAGTCCTACAAGGAGACATCCAGATCCGGACCTATGTAAAAATGACCTGGCAGAGACTTAATATACCATCACTAGGTGTCAATATTTGATATATGTAGATTACTACTACAGCCTGGTTGTTGTACTTGTGCTAGTTTATACACTGCCCTCTGATTTCTGTCTAGTTGACCCCTGGACGGACAGCAGAATTTGAAAGCATGTATTATGTTTCAATTAAACATAATCTTAAATCTGGTCTGCAGCCACATAGATATTTACAGTGTTTCCGTTTTATGAATGAATTTGTTAATCAGCAATGGACACTGACCATGGTTGGACGTTTTGGGTACAAGAGGTGGGGTAGATTTGTTTTGCCAAGTCCAGATCCATTTTTTCTTCAGTAAATGGGCAAGGACCTTGACGCGATCGCACGATCGCCGCCACCAACATGCGACAATCGCACAACCGCGACCAACAATAATACGTCACGCCCGCGGCGTCAGACCCCACACCTTCCCACCAAACTCGTGACCGAAGGACTGGCCGATCTAAAACCACGGTGTGATGCGCGTAAAAAGGCCACACCCAGCTGCACCCTGCACAGCGATTGTCCAGCTAATGGGCTACAATCGGTGCCTGCAGCCTGAATGCGCTTGTTACTGGGTCGGGTTAATTACGCAACTAACCCTCTACTGCCACCACCACTTTTGTCGGAGACTGGGAAACTCCCGTTATCAAATATACACTATAATGACTGAAAAGTCGCCTGTCCAATACGGTCACCGCAGGCCAATTGGGCAGAGGATTAAACACAGTAGCGTCTCTTCAAAAGGCAGGAATTCGTGAATTGCAAGTAAGCGCTTAGAAACAGTTTAACACTGTCAGTAAGAAATCTTTTTTACTAAAAGAGTTAAACAGGTGCAATAAAATATTTACAGAAAAAGATGTAACTAAGATATATATCTTTATATACACATATAAAGGTACAGCAAAGAGCTAATAGGAAGGAAGTTACAGGGTTAAGTTACTTGCCAATATGCCTTGGTTTGTAAGCAGATCCAAGTTGCAGAGCAGGAAGGGTCTTTGATCTCCTCTGTTACGATGTTAAGATCAGGAGATGTGTTTAGCTTAGCTTTAGGCTTGTCAGCCTGTCTTTTTAAAATCCCCCTGCAAGGGGGGGGAGGGGGGGATGGCTCTGCACACTGGCCACTACGCTGTTTTGGGAGGGGTCAGTTGGGAGAACTCTGAATTAGAACCAACATCTGTCATAATCCATGACATGAAACATAGGGGAAAAAACCTGACCCAGAGGAATGTTCATTTCATTCTGTCATCTTTAACTGTTAGGTTTTGTGAGGTTACAATCTCTTTCAATTCCGGGGAGAAACTGCCTTATCTGTTTTATGATGGGTGAGCCTACGCAAGTTCTGGGGTCACGCTGGCCTTATCAGGACTGTAGGTGAGGAAGGCTACACTTCCGCAGACTGCCTGGCAGCGGACTAAGGATACCTTAACCTCGGTTGACCCACACCATCTGTCAGGATATAACGTTTGCCTCTCAGGAAGGGAGGGGGTAGGAAATGAAGGACTTCTCTGATGAGCAAGTTTGCTACAGACCTCTTTACATATTCACTAGGACAGGGGCAGGTTAATGGCACTTTAGATCTCACCCAATTCCCATATTTCCCCCTGTGAAAACTGAGATGCAAAAGAGCTTGGTTCCCTTTGGCACCCGACATGGTTTTTTTGAGACAGAGATCCCATGTGTATAGGCAAGGGGTCTAAAGTGGATGCCTTTAAAAGCTCACCAAGACCGCAAGCAAAGGTAAGAGACCTTAAAGGTGGAAAGGAGACTGATGCTTGTGGAAGACAGATGTTTTGGGAAGGAAGCATATCAGGTGTCGTTTATATCTAGGGACAGCAAAAAAGGCGTGAACCCCTTGCTATATTAAGATGTATATTATACCAAATATTTTTTTACATGTTAATTAGGAAATAAAATATTCAAAATTTAAAGAAAGTGGACAGGATCCAGCAAATCAACCAATATTTGCTACCTGTGATTTGGTTTAAATTAAGCTGGATTTTGATTCACATGGTTGGGTTTGCCCATCTCCAGTATACTGTAGGTGTTTGTGTTTTTATTTGGTTTCACACAGCTGACTATAGCTAAACTTTAACTTAAGGGCCCTTTCACACTAATCAGTTTTTCAGTTAAAAAAAGCAGAAGAAAAATGCATGGAAAAAATGCATCCATTTAAATCTTATGCTCTTCATACCAGTCAGTTGCCTTTCAGTTGGGTTTTTGGCTGCTCTCACACTGCTCTATTGCAAAAATCCTGTAAAAAGGAATAATCTACTTTTTTTAAACTGAAAAACTGATGAGTGTGCACCAAACATGCAGCAAGCAGGACTTTTAAAAACCCAACTGACTGGTGTGTGAAGAGTTCCACAGGATTTAAAGGGATGCATTATGTGTGTTTTACCACGCTTTTGCAATTGAGCACTGTGAAAGCAGCCAAAAATGCAACTGACCTGAATGAAGAGTTCCATAGGATTTAAAGGAGTGCATTATGCATTTTTACTGCACTTTTGCAATGGAGCAATGTGAAAGCAAAAAATGGAACATAAATGCAACTGACCAGTGTGAAGAGTTGCATAGGATTTAAAGGGATGTATTTTTCATGAATTTGTTTTCCATTTTGTTTGTTTTTCTTTATTGAAAAACTGATCAACAACTGATCAGTGTGAAAGGGTCTTAAATGTGCACTCTAGGCAGATACAAAAAGAAACATCAAATGAATGCAGTAGTGCACTTATTTGTTTTTGTGTATAAAATATATATTTGTATTCCCTGTTCAGCAGCACTCAGATTTGTAGAGACAGGAGCAGCGGTAGGAGCCAATCAGGTGTCCAGTATGTGCTGATGAGGAACATGCTGACAAAAGGTGAGAGCAGAGAGATGACCCATCAGTCAGCTGCTGCTCTTTCACTTTACAATAATGTGCTAGGACAGAGAGGTGATCAATCTTCATTCTAGCATTGCAGGACAGGAGAGTAAAGTCAATTCAACAGGCTGGTTGTGTTGTATGTCAGGGTTGTGAATATTTCAGAACTGGATGGATGATGCACATTCTTTGGATAGTAAAACGGCTCACATATACGCATTTCATCTGTGTATTTAACTGCCTTATTGGAGTGCTTAATACATAGGAGGATAGATCATACCTAGAGCTCTTTGTAAAGATACCAGGTTTTTACACAGCATTAATTTTACTTTATCTGAATTGTTGCAATTGCAGTATGTGAACTTCGATCGCCGTCTATGGGTGAATTCATGTGGGGTCTGGAGTCATCTGGGTGGTTAAAGCACATCAAGACCATATTGGATGCCGGCATCTTCATTGCCAAGGTATAGTTCCTGCATCTCATTTTCACAAATTAGGTGACTTAAAATGCTATTTATTTGAATTGTACATCCCAGGATAATCCAATACAGTCCAGATTGCCCTTAATTCATAGATTTCACCATTTTTCAAGCCATAATCAAGGGTGCCTTTTTAAACCACTGAAAAGCATGTTCTCTTTTCGAGTTGATAATAAAAAAATAGATTCCTCCTTATAACTTCATCCATATTAAGAGGAGAGCTGAGCCATGGCCCCTGTTTTTCAGAGAGCCACCTAAAGTCCTTACACCAGACAAGACACCCAATCTGGGTTCTACTCAAATCGAGATTCAGTGTTCCACACCATCCTCATACCAAGTAATTCAGGAAACATGGCAAGGCACAGGCCAAGTTATAAGACCAGAACTATTTCTTTTAGAAGAGTGAAGCCTAAAGGATACATTGGCCCTTCTTGACTTATTAGTAATGAGAGGTTTGGAAACGGGTTGGAAAAGGAATATCGTAGCAACACTTTGGCCTGAGTCCTGAGCCGGGCTGTGTGTTTCCATAGACACACTGTTTGACTCGACCCCAACCCCCACTCCCTTCCCATTGGATTTGACTGACAGCAGAAGAAGCTAATGGCTTCTTCATATTTGAAAAATTAAACTACTTCTGCAAACAAAGTCTGTAATTTTGACCTGTAGATAAAGATTGTTGATGGTAGATTCAGATTGCTTGTGTTTTAATTTTGGTTTGCAGTGTTGCTAGTTAAACCTACAGGGCAATTTCTGGTAATGTGCAAATACATTCTACTAATTTTTTGCTGAAATTTCTTGCCCATTCCTAGTCATTTTAATAACATTAAACTACAAAGCAGCTTGCCTATGTTATATCATTTTATTTATCAGTAGGATTTTTTTTTTTTTTTTTTTGTGTTTCTTGCAGGCAGTGGCTGAAGAAGGGACTAGTGTGCTCGTCCACTGTTCTGATGGGTGGGACCGCACAGCTCAGGTTTGCTCAGTGGCAAGTCTACTCCTTGACCCATACTACAGAACAATCAAAGGCTTTATGGTAAGAGATTCAGTGCAGTTGTGTTACGTTTGCTTTGTTATTTTTTGTATAATCAATCGCTTATTTCCAGATATATTCTAATACAGTTATTTGTGTTGGTTGTCTTTTAGGTATTGATTGAGAAAGATTGGATTTCATTTGGCCATAAATTTAATCACAGGTAATGTAGAAAAATGACGAGTATTCTGTAGACATGAATGTGTGTTGTGTTTCCCCCCCCCAACAGTTCTAGCCTGCGTACTTCTAAGTTCCTCTCTCATCTCTGAAGGCAAACATAGAGGTCTATTTACAGAACATTCATTTAATAAATGTCAAATATGTTTGTGCATGCTGCACCAATTTTGGCTGTAGTTTCTCCAATTGAGTAATCCCAATGATAGTTCGCTCCCTCTGTTAGCCGAAATCTGGTATATTTTTTCCTTGATGTATTTCAGAAAACTATACCACATTATGGCCACTAGAAGGAGCTGACATTCATAGTCATTCATTTGTTTGAGAAATTCCGTGTCAAAATTCAAGCAGCATGCACAGATGTGTCTGAGGTTCTTCAAACAAATGTTGTGTAGCTATACCCCATTGAATGAAGGAGACACAATAGAGAGAGGGCACTGCTGAAAGCAATGCCAACTAGATAACTTGTTAAACAGAAACTGCAGGTAAGTAAAGTCATTAAGAATTTGCCACTGTGCTGAAGTCTAGGCCATACAGTTGAATTCTGTGTTCATACTAAGAACCAGTAGAGGTAAAGGAACTGAAAGAATCTGTTTGCTGTGAAGACCTCTGGGCAGACATGCTTTATCATGGAGATTCATCCTTTGTTGGGGGGGGGGGGGGGACTGCAGGAAGCTAAGAGGTGATGGCCCAATGAAAACCGCCTTCGCAGCCTTCAAACTCTTTGGGAAGCACAATTCTTTGTGGAAGGTATTATGATTACCATGGCTACACTTTTAATTAGGTTTGAGATGATGTTTCCACAGTTCTGGATTACTAGGAAAAAGGCTTTTGCATGAAAAATAGAGGCCCTGAGCAGGTAGACTGCATCCCCTGTATACATTATCGTATGTAGTGTACTTTTTTTTTTTTTTTTTTTTTTTTTTTTTTTAATATATGCAATGTGTTCAGTATGTACTGGCACTCATACCAAGACTTCATAGGCTTTGTTGTGTAAGGACTGTTAAACACTGTTTATGGTTACCGGCTCTTCCTCGGAAGGCCATCAGGCTGTGGTAATTTAAGTGATTAAGACAAGTACACCACTTTCTCCATGTTAGAGATGGGGCGGTCGTGGGCTTTAGCACCTAGGACCTACTCATCTTTCTTGGACAGCATGTGATGTCACTGT